AAGAAGTCAAACTCTCACTGTTTGCAGATGATATGATACTTTATGTGGAAAACCCAAAAGACTCCACCCCAAAACTGCTAGAACTCATACAGGAATTCAGTAATGTGGCAGGATATAAAATCCATGCACAGAAATCAGTAGCATTCCTATACACCAACAACAAGACAGAAGAGAAATTAAGGAGTCGATCCCATTTACAATTGCACCCAAAACCATAAGATACCTAGGAATAAATCTAACCAAATTGGCAAAGGATCTGTACTCAGAAAACTATAAAGTACTCATGAAAGAAATTGAGGAAGACACAAAGAAATGGAAAAACGTTCCATGCTCAAGGATTGGAAGAACAAATATTGTGAAGGCATCAGTGCTACCTAGAGCAATCTACACATTCAATGCAATCCCTATCAAAATATCATTCGCTTTTTTCAAAGAAATGGAACAAATAATCCTAAAATTTGTATGGAACCAGAAAAGACCCTGAATAGCCAGAAGAATGTTGAAAAAGAAAAGCAAAGCTGGTGGCATCACAATTCGGACTTCTAGCTCTATGTCATCATCAAGACAGTATGGTCCTGGCACAAAAACAGACACATAGATCAATGGAACAGAATAGAGAGCCCAGAAATGGACCCTCAACTCTATGGTCAACTAATCTTCGACAAAGCATGAAGAATGTCCAATGGCAAAAAGAGAGTCTCTTCAACAAATGGTGTTGGGAAAATTGGACAGCCACATGCAGAAGAATTACACTGGACCATTTCCTTACACCACACACAAAAATAGACTCCAAATGGTTGAAAGACCTAAATGTGAGACAGGAGTCCATCAAAATCCTAAAGGAGAACATGGGCAGCAACCTCTTTGACCTCAGCCGCAGCAACTTCTTCCTAGAAGCATCACCAAAGGCAAGGGAAGCAAGGGCAAAAATGAACTCTTGGGACTTCATCAAGATAAAAAGCTTTTGCACAGCAAAAGAAACAGTCAACAAAACCAAAAGACAACCGACAGAATGGGAGAAGATATTTGCAAATGATATATCAGATAAAGGGCGAGTAATCAAAAATCTATAAAGAACTTATCAAATTCAACTCCCAAAAAACAAATGATCCAATCAAGAAATGGGCAGAAGACATGAACAGACATTTTTCCAAAGAAGACATCGAAATGGACAACAGACACATGAAAAAGTGTTACATTGCTCAGCAGCAGGGAAATCCAAATCAAAACCTCAATGAGATACCACCTCACACCAGTCAGAATGGCTAAAATTAAGAAGTCAGGAAATGACAGATGTTGACGGGGATGGGGAGACAGGGGAACCCTCCTACATTGTTGGTGGGAATGCAAGCTGGTACAGCCACTCTGGAAAACAGTATGGAGGTTCCTTAAAAAGTTGAAAATAGAGTTACCATACGACCCAGCAATTGTACTACTGAGTATTTACCCGAAAGATACAAATGTAGGGATCCGAAGGAGTACGTGCACCCCGATGTTTATAGCAGCAATGTCCACAACCAAACTGTGGAAAGAGCCAAGATGTCCATAGACAGATGAATGGATAAAGAAGAAGTGGTATATATATACAATGGAATATTATGCAGCCATCAAAAGGAATGAAATCTTGCCATTTGCAATGACGTGGATGGATCAGGAGGGTGTTATGCTGAGTGAAATAAGTCAATCAGAGAAAGACATGTATCATGTGATCTCACTGACATGAGGAATTCTAAATCTCAGGAAACGAATTGAGGGTTGCTGGAGTGGTGGGGGGGTGGGAGGGATGGGGTGGCTGGGTGATAGACATTGGGGAGTATATGTGCTATGGTTAGTGCTGTGAATTGTGTAAGACTGTTGAATCACAGACCTGTACCTCTGAAACAAATAATACATTATATGTTAAAAAAAAAAAAAAGAAGAAGAAGAAGATAGCAGGAAGGGAAGAATGAAGGGGGGACATCGGAGGGGGAGATGAACCATGAGAGACTATGGACTCTGAGAAACAAACTGAGGGTTCTAGAGGGGAGGGGGGTGTGGGTTGGGTTAGCCTGGTGATGAGTATTAAAGAGGGCATGTACTCAACGGAGCAGTGGGTGTTACACGCAAACAATGAATCATGGAACACTGCATCAAAAACTAATGCTGTAATGTATGCTGATTAATATAACATAATAAAATAAAAAGATTTTTTTCTTTTTTTTTAACGTTCTATCAGCATGGATTCATGAATTTTTATTTATTCAATTTGTTACAAACAATTATAGTCATTATTCTTTGAAGCTCAAATTATCCCAAATTTGGCTAGTGAGTGCCTCTTGAAACTGGCTCCTGATTGCTTTGTTATACCCTCTAGTCTTTGAGTGTTTTCATTTCTTTTTAGCACAACACAATGTTCCAGGCTCGCTGTATACTTCCCTGACCAACACCCATAATCATACAGCTTTCCAAAAAGGTCTGTTTCTTTTTATTGGGAAATAGTGTTTAGAACACAAGAATTGTGTTATTGGTACTAGATGGGAATGTTCAATACTGTTGAAAGTCATTAAATGTCTTTTTGCTTGTCAGAAATCTGAAATAGAAATGAAATTTAAAATTCATTGGCTCCTATTGGGTCTTACAATTCAGAGTTAAAAATAATACAGGGCTGGGGCGCCTGGGTGGCTCAGTTGGTTGGGCGACTGCCTTCGGCTCAGGTCATGATCCTGGAGTCCCGGGATCGAGTCCCGCATCGGGCTCCTTGCTCGGCAGGGAGTCTGCTTCTCCCTCTGACCCTCCCCCCTCTCATGTGCTCTCTCTCTCTCATTCTCTCTGTCTCAAATAAATAAATAAAATCTTTAAAAAATAATAATAATAATACAGGGCTAAGAAACTTTTAAATACACTTTCTGTCTTTTCTCTTTATTCATATATTCTTATATTTCTTATATTTCAGAATTTTTAGAAATAATATTAAGAGTATAATGCAAACATTACTATTAGCAGTTAAACTGCTGAATGAAGGTTAAAATGTCTTTGCATTTATTTTGTCCCAGGATGTTTGACTGTGAGTGTAATTACTCTCTTCAAAAATGACTTGAAATAATTCTTAACTCTGATTAATAGAGCTTTACACTTATTTGCGTTAGTATTTTTTTTCAATTTTAGATTTTGCTTTTCTCTTTTAAGCTAAACTTAAAAATATGAAAAGCACCTACATTTTTTTAAAGATTTTATTTATTTATTTATTTCAGGGAGAGAGAGAAAGGGGGGATGAACAGAGGGAGAGAAAGAAAAACTCAAGCAGACTCCCAGCGGAGCATGATCCCAGTGTGGGACTCAATCTCACCACCCTGAGATCATCACCTGAGCCGAAAACCAAGAGTCAGACACTTAACCAACTGAGGCACCCAGGTGGTTCAAACACCTACAGGCTTCAAAAGTCAAAGTAATATGAGAAGTATGCCGAGTAGTCTTACTTCCATCATATCTGATCCCTCATTTAATAAAGTTATATTTTTATTAGTTTCTGACATCATTCCAGTGTTCATTAATCTCCTTTTTTTATAGAGAAGGGAGATTATTTTACACATTTATCTATAATGTGTTTTCGTATTTATTTATTTTAGTATCTAGTTCCAATATTCCCGTGAATAACCTTCCTCAGCAACCTCAGTAGCTGTGCTGCAATCGACCTAGTCAGCAACACAGTCTGGCATCATCCCCCCCACACCCAACACACACACACACACACACACACACACCCGCGAAGTGTTGCTGGGGCCGGGGCCCAAAGAGAGAAGGTTCTGTGGCATTGTCCTCCTCTGGGCTCCTCTGACTTTGGCCTTGTTGCTGGGATGCTTCAGAATAAAAGTCTAGTGGCTCAGAAGTGTAGGAGGAACCCAAATTGGGGGCGGGGGGGTGGGGGGCTAGGTGGGATTAGAACCCCCTCCAAGAATGGTGGTGGTGGGCAGACACTGTGGAAGGCCTCATCTTTGGACAGTCAATGTGGAATTTTTCTTTGTGTAACTGTGTCATCCAATCAAACAATTAGGATTTTTTTTCTTGGTGGATGGACACTCTGCCCTTAACTTTTCATATGCAAAATTTAATTTAGTAGGTGCCCGAACCCCAGGTGCGCACAGCAGCCCCTCTCAGGGAAGCCCATCTCTCACCCCTGTCGGAGACTTTTTAAATATATTACTGGAAATCCGCAAAGCACTGTGTAACGTTATCACATACATTACCTCCATCCTTTCTAATGGAAACCCTAGGAGGTGGGTGTTACATCCAAATCTTTCAGAGAATGCAGGAGTTTCAGAAATAAGCCCTAGCCCGTGATCACATTGGAAGGGAAAAGCCAAACCATAATTTGAACCTAATCTGCCTCACAGATCTTTTTTTTATAAGCAAGGTTATTCCTTTAGTTTGGGAAACAACCTCCCCTCTTCAAATAAAGCCTGAACTCAAAAATCAATAACGCTTTGAAAAATTTACCTAAAAGTGGCCAAAAATATTCTTAAGTAGCTTTGACGATCATTTGTAGTTTTCTCCTCATAACATGCGGGGCAAACCTGGGACAAGGGTGGATTCTCTGTTATTGTTATTATCATTTCACGTAAATTTAAAAACAAGGAGAAAATCCTGGACCTCTAGCGTACGATAAAATGTAAAGACTTTCATGTACAAAAGCCCTTAAAATAATTCGAGAGGCCTGCAAAACTAATAAAACACAAGAGTTCAATTAATTTTGTGGAGCTGAACTAAACTGAACGGCACGGAGGCTGACACGGTACCGACCGAACACAACCTAACACCGACCGAGGGCAAACTAACCGGGTCAAGGTTGCCACGACGGGGTCAATAGACACCGGCCGACGCCAGCAGCTCGCGCAGGCGCAGAGCCGGGCCGAGGGAGGGCGACCGAGAGGGAATCCGCCCCGCCTTCCCCAGGCCCCGCCCGCCCTGCTTCAGTTCCCGGCCTTGCCACTAGGGGCCGGCCGCGGTCCCCGCAGCGCCTGTGGCCGCGAAGCCGAGCGGCCCAGGTTTCCAGCCGGGCCCCTTTTCCAGCTGGGCCCCAGCATGGCTGCCCCCAGGGCTGCGGGTCGGGAAGCCTCCGCGTTCTCGTTTCCCTGACGGTCCCGGCTTCTGTGCTCTCCTTCCCCTCCCCAGGCCACTCGAGCAGACATGTTTGCCAAGGCCTTTCGGGTCAAGTCCAACACGGCCATCAAGGGGTCGGACAGGTGAGGGAGAGAAGGGGCCGGACAGGTGAGGGAGAGGCGGGGCCTGCTCCGCCCGCCAGGGCACCCCGACATTTCTCAGCGCAGAGGCTGGCCCACTGCCTCTCTGAGCTAGCTCAGCCGACCTGGGGTGGAGGCCGAGGGAACGTCCAGCCGGGGAGCGGGGGTGGGTTAGACTCATTTTGAGGGCGAAGAGGGAGAGCAGGCCTGGTTTGTCTCCCGGGCTGTCTTTTGGATATTCTAGTTAGTTTAAAGGAAAACGTAATTCAGCCAGCGCTTACTGACTGCGGTCGACATAAGGTGTTGAGGGGTCAAACACGAAGGATTGCAGGTTCCCCGCCCTCCAAAGAGCTTCGAGTCCCTTAGGAAAAATCAGAGGGGCACCGGGAACTACAACTACGGGAGAAAAAGGATGTGGCGGTTACTTCTGGCAGGAGAGACAGATGGAGGGTGAAGTGGGAGAGAATTAAGGGCCACGTTTTAAGAGCTGGGTCTGTTACGCAGTGTTGCAGATGCTGATACCACGTTGCGAATTTTGGAACCAGTGTTCTCTAGTCACTCTTGGTGCCCTCGTATAGCTTTTTAACCATAAACTGACAGATGCGCCGGGCAGATGTGAGGAAAGGGGTGGGTCCAAGGGCGAGGCATGGAGTCTGGAAGGTAGGGCTGGGTTTCTAGTCAGGCTAACCTGGTTACTCACTGGTTCTCAGTTGTCCTCTTTCTTTGTAAAACGGAAAGACTTGCCCCCAGGAATATGTGAAAATAGATGAGACATTGGATGAGAAAGAGAATAGGATGTTTTGGAAGAGTGTATGAGAATGGGGCATCATCAACCAGCTTTTCCTTGGCCCTTGTGATTCTATAGGAAGTCCTTCGGAGTCCTTCCTATGTATTAAAATCCGTCCAGGCAGGACTCACGCCAGGTACTGGTTTGCTCTCTGCAGGAGAAAGCTTCGGGCTGATGTGACCACTGCTTTCCCCACTCTTGGAAGAGATCAGGTCCCTGCCTTAGTACCTGGAAAGGAAGAGCTCAACGTTGTGAAGTTGTATGCTCACAGAGGGGATGCAGTGACTGTGTACGTGTGTGGTGGCAACCCCATCCTATTTGAACTGGAGAAAAACCTGTATCCAACAGGTATGTCAATAGGATGGAGATGGCCATTACTATCATCCTTGCCTACCATCTGTTTCTCCTTTCTTTCATTAAACTGCCTTACTTAAAACGTGAAGTGCAAAATCTCCCAATATCATCCCTAAGGGTCTTTTTGGACCCAGTGTCCCTAGAATTGGGTCTTTCAAGATCAAGAACTGCTACAGGAGGGAGAATAACAGGGCTAACACAGGAAGAGGATAAGTTGGCAAGGGACGTTCTGAGATGAAGGAATAATAATTCATAGTGGGTTAAGTAGGGATGGAGCAGAGGTCTTGAAAAGGGTGGGATTTCAGGACATGTAAAAAATATTCTTAAAACTTCATTAGCAGGATTTTCTTAAGAAACTGAAGAGATACGGTGATAGGAAGGAAGCTAGGTTAATTAAACTACATACCCAGCTGTCTTACTGATGTACTTCAATCGAGATACCTCACAGGATTCTTTCTGAGGCTCTGCCCGGCTCTCAGGATCCTTTGCTTTCTCTCTTTGTCACAGATCTCAGACATTCAGAGTCCTTTTCTCTTTTCCGTAGCTGCTGACGCCTACTTTGTCACTTGGGGCTCTTCTCCCCCAAGCTTGGCGGCAGCGGCGCAACGCGGTCGCCTTCGGTTCCCTGTGCCCCCACTCCACTTGGCGGCTCTACAGACAGGCCCTTTTTGATCTCAGGTTTTACTGCTAATCACTGTGAACACAGAGGGAATAAAAATAATAAACATGGGGAGGTTTCAACATTTCCTACAGGCTGGCGCCCTGTTCTTCGCTTACTTGCTTCTGAGGTCACAGATGGCATCCTTGTTGGGTCTCTGTCCCCGCTTTTATCTACCGTGCCCATTTTGCTGCCGCATCCAGGTGGAATCATAGGGGCCTCCCAGTCTCGAGGGACATCCAGTTTTTTAAGTATCTGCCTGCTTTAAGAAGGAAACCTCTTTGGGCCTCACAGCCTCCCCTCTAGCTTTGAGTTGAGTTTCTTTTCTATTTCTTAATTTAAGTGCCCTTAGTGTTTGGCTTGCCAGTTCCCTAGGGGATTGACCTTTTGGCAATAAGTCTTTCTGTGTCTCTTTTTGGGCAGTATACACCTTGTGGTCCTATCCTGACCTTCTCCCAACGTTCACAACATGGCCTCTGGTGCTCGAAAAACTGGTCGGGGGAGCAGGTAAGAGGATTTTCCTATATTCTGGCTATTGGCCAAAACCTACTTAGTAAGGGCCAACTACTTTAATAAATGCACCCATTTCCTGTATTCATACAATTGAAAAATGGAATTTTTTCCCCATGTGTGTTTCCTCCCTCACTTGGCTGCTTCCATAAGGTCCCTGGGCCGCTAGGACCCTGTTGAAAGGCCTCAATAAGCTTCGTACTTTGTACTTAAATCAGAAAATGCTTTGTGAACCATATGCTATACTTTAAATCAATAAGCTAAATTTTGGAAAGCAGAGTAAGAGATCATGGAACCTGACTGTCAGCTTGGTGCTTCAGTTTGACCACTAGCCCCCCAAAGGGAAAAGGTCTGATGCTTAGGTTGCATTTCTTAATTTTCATTATCAATAACCTAGTTGATACTTCATAAGTGTTTGTTGGCTGAGTGAATGCATAAATGATGAAGTAAAACTTGGAATTGGTTAGAGGCACAATGTGCGTTGTGATGCTTTTGTCTTGTTTGCCACATATTTGATGCTTCCAGGCCTGGTGGTGCCCCCTGCCGGTCTGCTGCAGGTACAGAAGGGGGACCTCTGTGCCATTGCCTTGGTGGGGAACAGGTACTGTGCCTGTCCGCTGTGCCTTTGGGGGAAAAACTTAGGTAAAACTGGGGAAGGGGGTGGGAAAGGACAACTTCCAAAGCTTATGGGTAAAGATTAAAAGAGAAAAACAGGGGGCGCCTGGGTGGCTCAGTTAGTTAAGCAACTGCCTTCAGCTCAGGTCGTGATCCTGGAGTCCTTGGATCGAGTCCCGCATCGGGCTCCCTGCTCAGCAGGGAGTCTGCTTCTCCCTCTGACCCTCCCCCCTCTCATGCTCTCTCTCTCTCTCTCTCTCTCTCAAATAAATAAATAAAATCTTTAAAAAAATAAAAAATAAAAATAAAAAAATAAAAGAGAAAAACAGATTCTTCTTCCAGAAGCACAGAGTGGGCCATGGGTAAATGGCAGTGAGCCTGTGTGGGTGATTGCCAGGAGTTGGGGGATGAGAGAAATAGGGAGAGTTTGGTCAAAGGATACAAACTTTCAGTTATAGGATAAATACAGTTGGAAGATCTAATGGATAACGTGAAGATCTAATGGATAATGGATAAAGTGATTATAATTGGTAACACTATATTGTGTAACTGAAATTTGCTAAGAAAGTAGAATTTACCTGTTCTCACACTGACCCCTAGCCAAATAAGAGCACAAAAAACAAAAAGAATAAGCTTTGGAGAAGACGGTATATGTCTTTCTCACTATTTTAAAGTTACTTCCTAACACAATATGATAGTGAATAGTGAATATTCAACAAATGTTTGTTAAATAGATAAATGAATATTTATGCCTGATAGTTCTGTTTTGATCTCAAAATAAAGCAATATGCTATTCCTTGTTTGTTCTGTTTATAAAAATTACTATTGTCTACTAAATACAAACATGCACATTTATGTAATCCTAAACACACACACACACCCTGAACTTTGGGAAAAAATAAGTCACATACAATCACTTATTTTTTTGTTCTTGTTGCAGGTCCTGCTGAGATAATTTACGAAATTATTCTTCATGCAAAAAGATAGTTGTTTAGGGAAATCCTGGGGGCCCACAGCAAGAAAATAACTAGCCTCTTTACTTAGGAAAAGGAAAAATATACAGGCAATATAATCTATAACTAAATGATTGACAATTTCAGGACTGGAATGGTTCATTCTGACTAACTGAACTGTTTCTCTGGCTACTTCTGACTGTTAGAGCTGCAGGCTTTAAAGAATTGTTCACCTGCAGATGTTCATAGAGGTCTATCAGAATACATTTAGGTTCTGTATAAACCTATATAGAGTAAGGAAAACATTCAAAGAATTTTGAAAAGCAGTACATTTAGCCCATTTAATAAACTGGAACAATATTATAACCACACCAGGTAAAGAAATGTTTTAAAATCAGAAGAGTGCTGCCTGTCCTTAGAAGGAGCACAGGAAATAGTTTAATTCCTTCCATTTCCAAAGGTGGATTTATTTTTATAATTACATTGATAGTTTTAATTTTGCTTCAAAATGTATGTAACATATTTGACACTTAATATTGCACACTAATATAAGACAGTATGTGTATCTTTGTGTTACTAAGAATATTTTCACATTTTATATCTCTCCTACTTTGTTTCAGACAACTCAGTCAAAGCAATAAACATTTTTCAGTGTTTACTGTCTGTCAACAATCTGGTTCCAGGGACATAATGATGAATGAAACACAGTCCTTTTCCTCAAGGATCGTACAGTATATGTGAAGGGTCAGGGAATTAGGAAAACAAATAATATAAGAAAAATATATTATTTCTTTAAATTGATTTTGTACTTAATATTCCAGCATGATTATTATCTGATGCTATTATTTTCTATAATATCATTTCAGTGAATACATTATTTACTGTTGTTAACATATAATTAGCATGACCAGTCCCCTATCATAGAACATTTATGTCTTTCTATTTTGGATTTAGGCTATAATGTTGCAGTTAAAAGAAGGACATTTATCTCAGTATTTTTATATCTCTCTGGACCTCAGGAACGATATCAGGTTAAGGAATATTGAATTTATTTTGTATACTAATTAGTTAATGGAGTGGTATAGTCAAAGCTGGAAGTTGAGGAATTAAATTATTTAGAAGGTATAAAGCAATATTAGAGCATAAGAAGTGGTAACTAATTTGATAATAGAGGTCATCAAGACAAAGGACATCAAATATGATGAGTTTGGCCCTACAAGACTAGTTCACTTAAAAATATTACTGAAAGGCTATTAGGCATTTGTATTACAAAAGGGAAGAAGTCACCATCCCTACCTGTTATCGACTGGATGTTTGTGTCCCCCAAAGTCATATATTGAAGCCCTAACCTCTAATGTGACTGTATTTGGGGACAGGTCCTTTACAAAGGTAATTAGGGTTAGATGAGATTAGATGAGATCATGAAGGTTGGTGTCCTCATGATGGGATCAGTGCCCTTGTTCAGAAGAGGCACCAAGAGCTCTCTCTTTCTCTCTCTCTCCCCCGCCCCCCCCGCTCACACAGAAGAGGTCATGTGCACACAGCAGATGGAGGTAACCTAGACCAGCCAGGAAGAGACCTCTCTTCAGAACTGACCGTGCTGACACCCTGACCTAAACTTCCGGTTTCTAGAATACTGAAACATAAGTGCCTGTGGTTGAAGCCACTGTCTATGATGGTGGCATCCAGTGACTAATAATCTACCCTTTGCAGAAATTGCCAGTTATGCTCCTTCTTAGGCCATCATATTGGGAGGAATTCCCATTTTATACTTATCTGATCCTACTCCCAGGGCTCATTGGTCCAAAAACAACTATTCAGAACAATCTCCCTCTTGAAAACTTGGATATTCTCCATCACACACATGAGAAACAAGGTAGTACTACTTGAGATTCCTTTTCTTTCTAAAATGCCACAATGTAATCTTTATTGTACTGTAAAGCACCCACCGAAAGTTGTTTTCTTCCAAAATTTTTGGAGAAAAGTGAAGCAGAAATCTCTCTGAGACTTCTAATTATCTCTATTCATACATCCTCTATCTTGCTCTCCCTTTCCTCTCCTTCTCTGTCCTGGCCAAGAGGACTTCTGTTAACTTTCTGTAAGTAAGAGAACTGCCCTTGTATCTAGTGCTCTAAACATTAGAGTAAAAATTCTCTAGATTAAAAATTTTCTACTAGAGTAAAAAAATTCTGTGGTGAGTCCTCTGAGATCTGGTTCTCAAAGGGAAGTTTATAAAATTCATTTTATTTAATGGTTAGCTCTTGCAAACAGAAAGCACCTTGGTTTTATACCATATAGCCAGTTGAGACTGAAAACAGTAAAAAACAAAACACTCAGCACTGTAATTGACATTGTTTTCTCCTTAGGGGAAGAAATAGCAAACAACTCCTAAATTAAAATAGCCAGATATAACCTCATTGCTTTAGACCAAAAATGGACACTTCTAAAACTTTTTTACGAAAGAGAAACATGGAGTGATGAGTTTGAATCCATCTACATGTAAGAGTGTGCTTTTCTTTTAGTGTAAATATTTGTTCCTTGTCTTCTCTATGACACTTTCCAGTATGCTGTCTAATGCGTCAGAGCAGGGCTAACTATTTGACTCAGGACAACTTCTGCCCCCAAAAGCTAGATGTCTCCACTCCCATTCCTCTCAGAATATTGATTCAACCAAATACCTGTTTCTTTAATTTGTAACTTTTTTTTTTTTTTTTAAGATTTTATTTAGTCATTTGACAGAGAGAGACACAGCGAGAGAGGGAACACAAGCAGGGGGAGTGGGAGAGGGAGATGCAGGCTTCCCGCTGAGCAGGGAGCCCGATGCGGGGCTCGATCCCAGGACCCTGGGATCATGACCTGAGCCGAAGGCAGACGCTTAACGACTGAGCCACCCAGGCGCCCGTAATTTGTAACTTTAAAAATTGAATCTCAAATTGGGTCTGAATTGTGCGACCTAGGTCACCTGCCTGCACTGCACTACAAAGGAAGGGAAGTTTGAAGCTGAAATTTCCTACAGTTAAAAGGTGATGACTTTCATAATCTAGTAAGGGGAGAATAAAAAGCAAAATAATGATATCGAAAATTAAAATTTAATTGAGAAATTATTGTAAACTTTGTATAGAGGCATAGGATATTATTGATTGATGAAAATCGTCATGCAAATATTTTTAAAAGAGGTTTGAAATATAATCATATTCTCTTTCTGATGCAAATTGTATCTCTTCAGCAGCTTTCCTTTAACACTTAAACCAAATATTCAGGTCAGAAAAATCCACAAACATTGTCCAGTCTAACTATTTCTTTTTGATGAATTCTAAATGAGGTCTAGGAAGAACGGTAATTGAACTAATGTAGCAGTTCGTGCTTTTACCTAACGCATTAATACATATAATTAAATAATTGAGATTATTAATTATAGGAAAAAATACT